AGGAAGGGAGAGGGATAGAGAGTCAGAAACATCGATGAGAGAGAAACATCGATCAGCTGCCCTCCGCACGCCCCCCACTGGGGATGCGCCCACAACCAAGGCACATGCCCTTGACCGGAATCGAACCCAGGACCCTTGAGTCCGCAGGCCGACGCTCTATCCACTGAGCCAAACCGGTTCTGGCAAAGTAGAATTTCTTGATCATATAGTTGGTAACTACCAGTATATTTAACCTTTTGAGAAACTCAAATTGTTTTCCGAAGTATGAGAGTTCCCATTTCTTCATATTCTTGCCAATACTTATTATCAGTCTCTTTGATAAGTAGCCATTTTAGTGGGAATGAAGTGGTATTTCTTAGGGATTTTGATTTGCATTTCCCAGTGGCTTATGGTATTGAGCATTTTTTTCATGTGTTTATTGGCCATTTGTATATCTTTTTTTTTTTAATTGACTTTTTACAGAGAGGAAGGGAGAGAGATAGAGAGTTAGAAACATCGATCAGCTGCCTCCTGCACATCTCCCACTGGGGATGTGCCCGCAACCCAGGTACATGCCCTTGACCGGAATCGAACCTGGGACCTTTCAGTCCGCAGGCCGAGGCTCTATCCACTGAGCCAAACCGGTTTCGGCCATTTGCATATCTTTAGAGAAATGTTGAGTTTGCTCCTTTCTCCTTTTTTAAAATTGGATTGCTTGTCTATTACTGAGTTGTAAGAGGTCTTTATATAAAAGTCCCTTATCAGATACAAGATTTGCAAAATGTTCATAGCCTTTGGCTGCAAGTGGAGATATTGCTGTGAAGTGAGGATTCATTGTGCTCCTCATAGGAAGATGACCTACCTGGCTTGGGGAATTGTACCTCTACTATTACTTCAGCTGTACCTCTACTATAATTATTTATAATGTACATGCAGTTTATGATCATGTGAGGAGAATTTTCTGAGTCCTGAGGTTTTCATCATTACTCAGTTTTGACATTTTTAATCTAATTTTTGCTTTTTTTGTTTTAACCTGAGGTTTCACTTAGTTCTGAGTCTTTTTGCTCCTTGTTTTATTTTAGGACAGTGATTTTTTAAGATTCGGGTTGCGTGTGTCATTGCTCCTTTTTATGCTTAATTTGTGAGACAGTATTTTAAACTTTATTGTGGTCCTGCCTGGGTAGCTCAGTTGGTTAGAGCTTCTGCCTCATACGTTAAGGTTGTGGGTTCAATCCCCAATCAAGGCACATACAAGAATCAACCGAAAATGCATAAATAAATGGAACAAGTCAATGTGTCTCTCTCACTCGCTCTCCCTTTTCTTCTTTCTCAAATCAATAAAATTTTTTAAAAATAAACTTTCTTATACTGTCAATCAAAGTTATTTTGTTTTTTTAAGATGGATTTAGACTGAGAAATCTCCCTCATAGAAAAGAAAATTTTGAAAACAGTAATAAACTTCTCCATACTTTTCCATGGACCTAATCCCATTTTAAAACTGGTATAGTGGGAACTCTGCACCCTGTGGAAATAATTTGTCGTTAATGTGTAGACATGGGCACTTAACTCCAAACTATGTTTGTTATACTTAAAATACCACTTTACTCAGCACTTAACTTTGACTAGGCACTAAATTGAATAATGTATTGAGTGGTTTACATATGTACATAAACGTATTACCTTCACTATAAACTTAAGTCAAGTACTGGAGTTATCCCTATTTTGCAAGTGAGTCAACTGAGGTGAGAGTAACTTGTCCAACTATTACACAGCAGAGCTGTGACTTGAAGAAAGCCCAGTCTATCAACCTACCAGGTACCCACCTCTTTAACTTTTAAAATACAATCTGTAGTTCCTAGAATGATATGATATTTTGAGTACTATACTTAATATGCCATAGCATGTATGTTAATGTGCTATTTGTACACGTTTTTTGTTTTTTGTTTTGTTTTTTTAATATATTTTATTGATTTTTTACAGAGAGGAAGGGAGAGAGATAGAGAGTTAGAAACATTGATGAGCGAGAAATATCGATCAGCTGCCTCTTGCACATCTCCCACTGGGGATGTTCACGCACCCCAGGTACATGCCCTTGACTGGAATCGAACCTGGGACCTTTCAGTCTGCAGGCTGACGCTCTATCCACTGAGCCAAACCGGTTTCGGCTGTACACATTTTTAAGTTAAATAATAATGAAAGCATTTGGCTTAGTATTGTAAACACAGATTTATAAAATATGAACTAATGGTCACAAGAAATTGGAATCATTAAAATGAATGACACTTTATACATGCTATATACACATAATACAGTGGCATATTGTGAAAAGTGAGACGCAATGAAAAGAGTATTGGGATAAAAAAAGACCTAATTTTTAATCCCATCAAGTTAATAGAGGACAATTTTAAAGCACTCTGCAACATGAGATATGTTAAACCCATTAGATATTTATTGAACATATAATCTTAGGAGTCAAAATTCCAGAGACTCAGAGGACACAGCACATACTTAGAAGGATATAGTCTAATGGGCAGAATGGATCAGGTAGTGAGGGGCTAGTGACAATTAAAGGCTGTTCCCTGTGTTTGGACTGCCCTTTATACTCTTCTACCCCTAGGAAATGCTTATTTATCTTTTTATGCCCAAACTTATATGTCCTAGTCTTTGTATCCCTGAGGCAAAGCTAGGTGTTGCTTTCTTTATTAATGCTTCTTTTTGTTTATAATAACTACTTTTAGTTTTTAAAATCATAGACATTATCATGGTGAAATTTTTTTTTTAAACTTACAGAAGATATACAGTAAATATTGAGTCCTTTCCCCACTCACCCTCAGTCTCCTAGTCCCATTTCTGGGAGGTAACCACTTGTATTTTTAAATGTAGATATTTATATATTTTTTAAAAAAACATGAATTCTCAGTTACGGGGAAATAGACGTTCCTCTATCCTCAGAGTTCTTCGGGCTGGTCGAATAATCAAACAGACATGATATAGATTAGCAAGAGAAAAATAACCAAATTTAATACATACCCCCCCCAAATATGAAAGAGTCAGAAACCCCCACATGCTAGTGGTTCAGAGAGAGGAAGGGGAATTGAGGTATATAAGATACCCTGAGCTAGGAATGAGATCATGTACCTTGGGGGCTTCAAAGAGTTACTGCAGAATGATAAGAACACGTGTATTTTATAGAAGCTTGTATTTGCCAGCAATTTGTGTCCAGGAAATAGTTGTTTCTTCATCTTTCAGTTGGTATAGATTATTTTTTCCATTAGGATCAAAACTGAAGCCTTTCTGGAGAAATTTAATAGTTGACCAGCTTTCAGACAAGAGAGAACTTTATTTCAGATATGTGAGCTACCTATTGATGCTTTATATTAGAGTTATTTGGAGATTTGTAAATGAAAGAAAAGGACAAATGCTTACGTTATGATAAAAACTTAGACATTTATTTTATTTTGAGAGTACATTTATTAAAACTGAGGACAGTGAAACAAAGGAAGGACTTAAGGTAGAAGAAACAACAGGAGAGAGTGTGGTTCATAGATCAATGCTCAACCACTGAGTTACATCGGCCAGGCCATATTGTGCTTTTAATATTATTATTATTTTAATATATTTTATTGATTTTTTACAGAGAGGAAGGGAGAGAGATAGAGAGTTAGAAACATCGATGAGCGAGAAATATCAATCAGCTGCCTCTTGCACATCTCCCACTGGGGATGTTCCCGCAACCCAGGTACACGCCCCTGACCGGAATCGAACCTGGGACCTTTCAGTCCGCAGGCCGACGCTCTATCCACTGAACCAAACCGGTTTCGGCCATATTGTGCTTTTAAATATTGACATTGAAAATCAGATCTTTAGATCTGTAAAGGTCCTCAAGAGATACCCTTGTCCAGTTCCCTGGCCCAGGGCAGCTAAATTAACCAACTCCTGTTTAAGACCACTCAGAGTCCACATAGGTAAAGGAACCTAGAGATAGGAGAAGGAAGGAAGGGGGTTATGGTGGTGATTGGTACAAGAGCCATTCATTCATCTATTTATTCTGCACCTATTGTATATCTTCTAAGTGCCAACTATTTATTAGGTACTTAAGTCAGCAGTGATCAAACAGATAAAAATCCCTATCTGTCCTGGTGAAGGGGGAAATAGACAAACAAAATAAAAAGTAAGTGCATGTAATATGTCAATAATACTATGCAGAAATATGAAGGAGGGCAGAGGGATAGGGATGTCATGGTTGGTGTAGGAGGTGCAGTTTGAAATGAAATGAAGAAGGAAGCTCTTATTGGAGTGGCATTGAACAAAGACTTGAAGAAGAAGAGGGAATAATAATGAAAATGCTGGAAAGAATGTTTGAGGCAGAAGGAACATCAAATGTAAATGTCCTGAGGCAGCAGAACACCAAGTATATTTGAGGAAAAGCAAGGACATCAGTGTGGCTGAAATAGAAGGAATGAGATGAAGAGCATCAGCAATTGAGGGGCAAGATCATTGGCCTTATAGGCTAGTATAAGGACTTTGGCTTTACTGTGAGAAGTCATCAGAAGGTTTTGAGCCTGCTGTACTGAGAGGAGACTGGGGAGGTGACAGCAGGAGCAGGGAGATAGGATGTTTTTGCAGTAATGTTGGTGAGAGATGGTAGTGGCTTGGATCAGGGAAGTAATGGTGAAAATTGTGAGAAGTGGCCAGATTCAGGATAGATTTCTGAAGACTGAGTCAACAGATTGCTAGTGGATTATAAGTGGGAATCTTCAATCATGTTAAACCTAAAGAACTCTAATTATGGGAATTTTAGACATGGTCCAAAACTGATAGGCAAGACTTGTCAGTGTGTTCAATCATTCACTGGTGAATTATGAAAAGCATGACTTGGACTTTGGGTTCATACTCTTACCCTGCATATTCAATGAAATTTCAGCTTATTTCAAACATTGTTTACTTCTTAGCATTAAGATTCATAAATATTCTTTTTAGCTTTTATTTCCTATGCATTGTTCTTTGTTCTCAAGTGTCTATATTTTTCTTCAAGGTAAAAAATGTTGCTAGCCCAAATAAATCGAGATTCTCAGGGAATGACAGAGTTTCCTGGAGGAGGAATGGAGGCTCAGCATGTTACCCTGTGCCTGACAGAGGCAGTAACTGTGGCAGGTGAGCAGTCTTGTTTGAAGGGATCGTGTGGGCTTGGAAATACCATTTATCTTAAGGGAAAATTTAAAAATCACAACACTGTGTTTACTTCCCTCTTCTTGTTTATCTAAAGACAACCCAAAGCTAAGCCTTTGGATGGCATTTTTATCTTCATGTGGATGCTGGGTATGGCAGGGCAGGGAAACGTTTTTGTAAGTACTAGAAAAAGTCCCATTTGAGTCTAAATTAATCAGTCTGCCTTTTGCCTAATATTCATTTTTAAAAAATAACTTAAATAGCATATACATATGATGTTATCTAAAGAAAATAACTCTTTTTATGATAGATGCTGATAATTTAGAAAATATGGAAGGTGTAAGCTTACAAGCAGTAACACTTGCAGATGGTTCTACCGCTTATATACAACACAATTCTAAAGGTATGTGCCTCATATATAACCCATTGGTTAATACCAGCAATGTATAATAACCTCAGAGTTGAGCACTTAGCAACTATACATGATCTTAACTTAGCAACTATACCCCTCCCTTATCCCTCCTAAAGATGCTGTATTGCATATGGTGATTTTCAACAGTCTCAGTTTAACTTATTTTTTAAAATAAATATGTTTTTATGGATTTTTAGAGAGAGAAACATTGATTGGCTACCTCCTGCATGTCCTCCACTGGGGACTGAGCCCGCAACCTGAGCATATGCCCCAACCTCAAATCAAATCAGTGACTTCTTTTGTGCATGGGAGGACACTCAACCAACTGAGCCACACTGACTGAGCTCAGTTTAACTTAAATATTGTTTTAATTTGGGGACACCCTTTGAGATATTCAGAAGATACTGTGGAGAATCAAAATTAGTGAGGCAGGAAGGAGTGTCCCCAACCTAATTCTAGTAAGACCTTTCTTGCTTTTTAAATTCAAATTATTATTTAATTTTTTTTTTTATTGATTTTCCACAGAGAAGAAGGGAGAGGGATAGAGAGCTAGAAACATCGATGAGAGAGAAACATCCACCAGCTGCCTCCTGCACGCCCCCCAGTGAGGATGTGCCCGCAACCAAGGCACATGTCCCCGACTGGAATCGAGCCCGGGACCCTTGAGTCCGCAGGCCGACGCTCTATCCACTGAGCCAAACTGGTTCGGCTAATATTTTTAAGAAATATATTCAGGGATGAGAATGACAGCTGGCCTCACATACACGGACATATTGTTTATTCTTCCCAGCTCCAGCTTCCCCCTAGTCAGAATACTGTTCCTAGGTGGCTCTGAAAGGCATATAGAGGTTATACTCATGTAGCCTGCTATAATGAGCCACTCTTCCTCTTGAACTTGTCTAATTGAAAATTGGAGGGGAGGAAGGATGGCTGAGGGAGGATTTTCTGCTTTCTGTAGGATCACTGGATGTGTTAATGAATTGCCTCAGAACATTGAGGGAAGAATTCAAGATGAACATGATCTTAAGTAGTGTATGTTTTTATAGTTGATAATCATTTTGAAATTGTATAAAATTTAAAATTTTGTTTGTGCTAATTTATTGGCTTAAATGTTTTTTTGTTCCAGATGGAAAACTCATAGATGGCCAGGTCATTCAGTTGGAAGACGGTTCTGCTGCCTATGTTCAACATGTACCCATACCTAAAAGTAGTAAGTATTTGATGCTACTTACCTTCCTGTTTTTCATACTGCAGTATTTGCTACCTCAAGCTCCTCTCACTACTTAAACTCAGTCCTGATCTCTAGTCCTCCTCTGAAACGGAAGATCAGTAGATGTCACATAGAGCTTATAAAGACCATTTTAACTTGAGACTTTGTCTCAAAATAATAGAAAAGAACTTGCTGGACTGCACTCTGGAGATAAGTGTGCAACAGTCCTAGTATTTCTATTATTTTAGCTATTTAGCTAAATCCTACATGTCTCTGATTTTTTTCCCTTTTTTCTTTTTTTCTTCTTTCAACTCTTCTAATCCCCTGGTACATATTCCTAATATAAGTAGGAATATCTTAATATCTTTTTACCATTAAGCACTTATTCAGAGTAGCTTTACTGAAATTACTTAAATGTTCAAGGACCCATAGAGCAAGGGTAGTTTTTATAATGTGTTCAATGATTTATTTTACTTATTTTACTCTGTTGTTGAATGATCAGAAAACATGGGATCTAAATGTAAGCATTGTTCTCGAGCAGGGGACAGTTTACGTCTAGAGGATGGTCAAGCCGTGCAGTTAGAAGATGGAACTACAGCCTTTATTCACCATACCTCCAAAGGTAAAATAGTTTTGGAAATGTGAATAAGTAAGGAAGAAATGGGGACGTGGGAAAAATAAGACCTGCCTTTAGTTACTGAAGTGGTGTCATGTAAAAGAAGAATTATACTTGTTCTCAAATACAAGATGGCAGATTTTGGCACAATCTAAGGAAAAATTTCTGATAATTTGAGCTGTCCTGTAACAATTCAGAATAGCAAGCCCCTGTTCCCTGAAGGACTTCAAATAGAGGCTACTTTTATTTTTTTTTTTAAATATATTTTATTGATTTTTTACAGAGAGGAAGGGAGAGAGATAGAGAGTTAGAATCATCGATGAGAGAGAAACATCGATCAGCTGCCCCCCGCACATCCCCCACTGGGGAAGTGCCCGCAACCCAGATACATGCCCCTGACCGGAACCAAACCTGGGACCCTTCAGTCCGCAGGCGGACGCTCCATCCACCGAGCCAAACCGGTTTCGGCTAGAGGCTACTTTTAAAATATGAAATTAGCCCTGACTGGTCTTTCTCAGTGGTTAGAGCATTGGCCCAAGCACTGAAGAGTCATGGGTTCAATTCCCAGTCAAGGGCACATACCTCAGTTGCAGGTTTGATCCCCGCCCTGGTCGGGTTGTGTGCGGGAGGCAACCAATTGATGTGACTCTTTCACATGGATGTTTCTCTCTCTCTCTCTCTCTCTTTCTCCCCCTTCCCCCTCCACTCCTCTCACTCTCTCTAAAAAGCAATGAAAAAAATATCTTGATATTTTTGAAGATTAAAAATCCTATATAATAAAAGGGTAATATGCAAATCAACCTAATGGCTGAACCACCAATCACTATAACATGCACTGACCACTAGGGGGCAGACGCTCAATGCAGGAGCTGCCCCCTGGTGGTCAGTTTGCTCCCACAGGGGGAGCACCGCTCAGCCACAAGCTGGGTTCACGGCTCGCGAGTGGAGTGGCAGTGGTGGGAGCCTCTCCCACCTCCGCAACAGCACTAAGGACCCCTCAGGGATGTCTGATTGCCAGCTGGCAAGTGGACATCCCCCGAGAAGTCCTGGACTTCGAGAGGGCACAGGTTGGGCACAGGTTGGGCATGTATGTCATGCACTGGGCCTCTAGTATATATATAAAATATTTTAAAGTTAAATTGTTGCCTTTTTTCTCTCTTAAATAGAACTTCTTTGCCTATTGTGTTAAAACTAAATTAAAATATCTGAAACAAGTAGAGCAAAATACTAACGTTTATTAATAACTTCATGTGGTGAGGACCAGAGCTTTGAGGTGGAATTCATAGGTATAATGAGCACAGCTCTGCAGAAAGATATCTGGGTTCAAATCTTGGTCAGCTATTCTTTAGCTGTGTGACTTTGAACAAAGTACTTAACCAAAAATATTTTTTTTCTTTAGCAGTGGGAGTTAATCATGGGTTCATTTTAGTTGGACAGATTTACTATTTCATAATGCTGTATACAGCTTTGTATGATTATTTAAGGGGGGGCGGGGAAACCATGGCCTTTGGAGTCACATTGACATGAATCCAGATCCTTGTTTTTTGACATACTGATTTTGGCAATTAATTTTATTATTTCCTGGTTCCTACGGAAAGTGACTTTACTTCCCAAAACCTCAACTTCCCATTTGTACAGTGGTGGTGGTAAATATACCTGCCTCACAGAATCGTGAGGATTGACTGAAATAGCATATGTAAAGCACATGAGTCAGGGTTCAGTGTAACTACTCAGTAAAACTTCACTCCCTTCTTCTTTTAAATATGTAACTGTTCATCAGACTACCTTTAATTTAATGCCATTCTCTTCCATTCCTTCAGATAGTTATGACCAGAGCGCATTACAGGCAGTTCAGCTGGAAGATGGCACCACGGCTTACATCCACCATGCAGTGCAAGTCCCACAGTCTGATACCATCCTAGCAATTCAGGCTGATGGTACCGTGGCAGGTCTGCATACTGGGGATGCCACAATTGATCCTGAAACCATCAGTGCTTTGGAACAGTATGCAGCAAAGGTACATCATTTTACAGTATCAAGAACAACCTTCTTTATTTTTCATTAAAAGAAAAGAAAACAAAAAAGTATACTGTATCCGATAAGAAACTGGCAATTCAGAGTCAGAATCAGACAGCATCAAGGAGAAGATCAGCCTCTTAACAGAAGTGTGTAGAAAGAAATATTGGAAGAAAAATAAGGGACGGGATAAGAGCTTATAGAAAATAAGTGGGTGACGGGTAACTAATAGAAGTTATATTCGAGGATGAGTGAGTGCCATAAGAGAAATAATAAAGTGTAAGTAAAATTTATGGATTAAGAAGTAGAAATTAGAGATTGGAAAAAGTGAAGGAACGTCTCAATTAAGTTTTATATCAAAACGGCTGGGTTTTTTCCCTGTATTGAATATATATTTTTCATATAGTTTAAAAGGTTACTTTCCCAGTTTTTATTGTGAAAATTTTCACACACAGAAATAAGCAATAATGAACCTTCATGAACTTATCACCCTGTCTAAATAATTATCAAAATGTAAAACTTTTTAAAGCTTTATTTTATTCCTATTTGACCGGAATCGAACCTGGGACCTTTCAGTCCGCAGGCCGACGCTCTATCCACTGAGCCAAACCGGTTTCGGCTAAAGCTACTTTTTTATATAAGAATTTCTCAGCATTATTGTGCCCTTTTATGGATGAAAGCAAAAATAGGGAACTTGCCCTGGCCAGTTTTCTCAGTGGTTAGAGTGTTGGCCAGTGGACTAAAGGATTGTGGGTTAGATTCCTGGTCAAGGGTATGTACCTCAGTTGCAGGTTCGATCCCTGGCTTGGGTGGGTGCATGCAGGAGGCAACCAATTGATGTATGTGTCTCTCTCACATCGATATTTCTCTCTTTCCCCCCTCCTAAAATATATATAAATATAGATACAGATATATCCCTTGAGTATGTTAAGGAATACCTGCATACAATGGAGATGATACTTGGGGTTTTTTTCTAGAGTGGCAACACAGCAGTACCCCCCTTACTAGCGGTTTCAGTTACCCACAATCAACTGCAGTTTAGAAATATTAAATGGAAAATTCGAACAGTCATAAGTTTTACATTGTGTGTCATTCTGAGTAGCATGATGAAATCTCACACTTCTCTGCGTAGGATGTGAATTATTTTTTAGTCCGGTGTATCCTCACTGTATATACCCTACCTGCCTGTTAGTCACTTAGTAGCTGTCTCAATTATCAAATAGACTGTCATTGTATTATAGTACTTTTGTTCATGCACTTAATCATATTTTCAAGCACTTAATAATATTTTACTTAATAATGACCCCAAATCACAAAAGCAGTGATACTGGCAATTTAGATATAACAAAGAAAAGGCATAAAGTGCTTCCTTTAAGTGAAAGTTGAAAGTTCTCAACTTGCCGAAACCGGTTTGGCTCAGTGGATAGAGCGTCGGCCTGCGGACTGAAGGGTCCCGGGTTCGATTCCGGTCAGGGGCATGTGCCTGGGTTGCGGGCACATCCCCAGTGGGGGATGTGCAGGAGGCGGCTGATTGATGTTTCTGACTCTCTCTCTCTCCCTTTCTCTCTGTGAAAAATCAATAAAATATATTTAAAAAAGAAAAAAAGAAAGTTCTCAACTTAATAAGGTACTTTATCATCTCATAACATCATCATCGTAAGAAGGATGATTACAGCACAATAAGATATTTAGAGAGACCACATTCACACTTTATTACAGTATATTATACATGTTATATTAATTATTATTCATCTCTTACTGTGCCTATTTTATAAATTAAACTTTATTATAAGTATGTAGATATAGAAGAAAACATAGTGCATATAGGGTCCCATCCAATCTGTGGTTTCAAGTATCCACTGAGAATCTTGTATCCCTGTGGATAAGGGGGGACTACTGAAGATCTTTGAGCTCTAGCCACTCCTCATCATGGATCTCCTTTCAACTTCTTCCAGAGTCACTGACTTCAGCCATGGAATGGAATTAGCCTAACTGGCTCAACATGATAAAATCTTCGTACAATGATAACAGTACTTTCATCTATTTTATCTCTGTGTAAACAATTTAAGTAATACTTTCTGTTTCATCTAGATTGTCTTACAAGGACATGCAGCAAGAGTAACTGCTAAATCTCAGCAGAGTGGAGAGAAGGCGTTTCGATGTGAATATGATGGATGTGGAAAATTATATACAACAGCTCATCATCTTAAGGTATATATGAAGAAATGCTGGGTCTAGTTATGAGAATACCTAGGACATTAAATGCCAACATGATAAATTTGTAGCATTCAAATGCCTTCTTTTCCTTCATTTATCAAGGTATAGACCAGTGATGGCAAACCTTTTGAGCTCGGCGTGTCAGCATTTTGAAAAATCCTAACTTAACTCTGGTGCCATGTCACATATAGAAATTTTTTGATATTTGCAACCGTAGTAAAACAAAGATTTGTATTTTTGATATTTATTTTATATATTTAAATGCCATTTAACAAAGAAAAATCAACCAAAAAAATGAGTTCGCGTGTCACCTCTGACACGCATGTCATAAGTTCGCCATCACTGGACTATAGACACACATTCACACTCACACTCAATCAAAGACACACAAAAGCCTATGCAGATTTTAGAAAATGTCAACTTTTTGTGGGCTTGGACTATGTTTACTTCATCTTGTCTACATACTGGCACATGGTAAGTACTCTATATATTTGAATACATTTTTGTCAAATGTGAAATTTATAAAATTATATCAGTAGTGTGTATAATCACCTTTTTAACAGTGATCTGCTGAAATCTAGCAAAAGTTGGTGTTAGTTTGTCCTATCGTCCAAATATACAGGCCAAGTACTTTCATTGCAGCTAAACACGATATACCATGTCTCAAAAATAATAGCTCACAATAACTGAATAATTTACAATGTGGCAGGAAGTGTGCATTTAGTATGTTGCTGGGGTCCAACTCCAACAGGTCCAAGAGTCCCCAAAGGTGTGGACGGAGTCGGCAAAGATGGAATGACACAGAGATAGCATTCAGTTGATCAGCAGCCTAGGCAGGATCTCTAGTCAAGTTCTGGTCAGGATCTTCAGTGAAGTTCTAGTTAGGATCTCTGGCCAGGTTCTGTGTCCATGTTCTCTTGCTAGGTTCTCCAGCCAGGTTCTGTAGCCATATTCTCTTGCTACGTTCTCCAGCCAGGTTCGGTTTAGGTTCTCCAGCCAGGTTCGGTCGCCAGGTTCTGTAGCCGGGTTCTTCAGCCAGGTTCTGTCTAGGTTCTCCAACCAAGTTCTGTAGCCAGGTTCTGTCCAGGATCTTTTGCCATGTTCTCTCCAGCGAAGTTCTTCTGTCTCTAGGTTCTGTGTCTAGGTTCTCCTTTCCTAACTTCAGGGAAAAATCCCTACCTGGGGAAACAACCTTTCTCGGAGAGGTGACCTTGGTTAAAACACATAGCGCTAAGGGGAGCAAACATATTAAGAACAGTATGCCATATACGCCAGGTCCCTTGAAACATATGCTGTGCAGGTGTTTCTTCCCTGCAGCGACTGTGTCAAGCAGCAAGGATGGACCGGCTGCTAGCAGTATGTGTGAAGTAGCAACCTCAGAGCCCATCGTCACTACTTAGCAGTGTATAACCTTAACATGTTACCTACCCTCTTAGTACCTTATTTTCCTTATCTATAAAATTGGATGATAAAGTATATTCCCATAGAGTAGTTATGAGAATTAAATAAAACTATACATGTAAAGTATCAAAAAGAATGGCCTGGCATGTGGTAGAAGTTCAATAAATGTTGGCCACTGTCATGATCATTCATTTGTCACAACAGCACCCTGTGACAATACTGTTTATATCCTCACTTTACAGAGAGCATTTAAGGCTTACAGCAGGCAAGTGTCGTGGCCACACTGCTAGTCAGTGGTGAAGCCTGGCCTCAGATGGAGGGAAGCAGCAGCCTCTGTATCTTAACCTTCCACTGGGTAGCCTCTCCCTACACTCTGCTCCTGGCTCTCACCATGCAATGTTCCATGCACACACCTTTGAGCACTCTAGAAAAATTCACACCTCCACTCTTCCTGTTTCTTATTTAAAATGAGTACTTCTTAACAATATTTTGGTCTATACTGAGAATTCCTGGACTGTAGTTTTTGAGAAAAGTTACCTTTTTGTGTGCATGTGGTTTTTCTAAAGTAACATACAAATAACAAAATAATTCAGCAGTGAAAAAAAAAATAGTTCTGTGTTGATACCATCTACCTGAGAAATGCCTAAAGGAAATAGAATCATTTTGTGTTTTAATGACAGGTTCATGAGAGGTCACACACGGGAGACCGGCCTTATCAGTGTGAGCATCCTGGCTGTGGGAAGGCATTTGCAACAGGTAAAAACATGAATTTGCTTCACTTAGGAGTCAAGCAGAGGCAGGCCTGAGGCAGGAAATGACCCCTTGCTTTTTGTCTGAATTAGCATGCACACAATGACCAGTTTTTCAGTCTGTCCCTTAGCTACCTCTTATCCTACTTGCTCTATTCTCTCTCTGTTCCCATTTTTCTCCTCAGGCCTATTTTATTTCTGCCTACTTTGTTTGGTGTTTCACTCCACACCCTGCTTTATTTTAGCAGGAAAAATAAAAGCTGGCACAGAATTTAACATTAGGACAGACCGCAGGGGGAACCCTGGGGAACTGGGACAGATCCAGCAGGGCCAGGAGGGGTACCTCATTCCATGTCTTGAGGTCACTTCAGGTTTTTGGGTTATGAGTTACGAGCATCTAATAAGACGAGAACACTTTTTAAAAAGACACATCCTCTTCTAGACAGATGAAACTATTGAATTTCCAGCATGATAGTCCTGAGCTGTCATATTCTTGTACATTTTTTTTTTTTATTTCAGAGAGGAAGGGAGAGGGAGAGAGAGAAACATCAATGATGAAAGAGAATCATTGATCGGCTAGCTCCTGCATGCCCCCACACTGGGGACTGAGCCCGCAAACCGGGCATGTGCCGACTGGGAATCGAACTGTCACCTCCTCGTTCATAGGTCCACGCTCAACCACTGAGCCATGCTGGCCAGGCCTCTTGTACATTTTCAATAGTTATTTTGTTGTGCTTGCCTAGTATTATAGCCTTGGTGTTTACTATATTTTTCAATAGCTTAATTTCAACAGGCATGGTTAGAGGGGTCTTGTGTAATTAAATTTCTTTTAAATTTTTCTTAAAGGTTATGGATTAAAAAGTCATGTCAGAACTCATACAGGAGAAAAGCCATATCGGTGTTCAGAAGATAATTGTACTAAATCCTTTAAAACTTCAGGAGATCTACAGAAACATATCAGAACTCATACAGGTACAGTACTGGTGTGAACAAATCTGTCTAGGCCAGCAGTCGCCAACCGGTGGTCCGTGAGGTCCGAAAGGTTCTCGACTGCTGCTCTAGACCACCAACTCTCAGTATCTAAAAGGGATTGTCTAAGTAACAGGCTTATTTACCTAGGATTACACACATGCTTCGTAGACCAACTGAGACCAGAACCTAAGGCACCCAGTGGTTTCTCAACTTAGTATTGCTTCTCATGCATCAAGCTACTGCTAAAAAAAAGTGTTCAAGCCCCTAACAGCCTCACAGAAAGAAAGGCTTGCAGTTTCCTTGTGATTATCTCTCCTCCCCTTAAAATTTTCTTCTCTTTTTCTAAAACAGCGTTTTGTCCTTATCTTCCCTCTCTTCCTTGTGTGTAGAATTGGTGTTATAAAGGTAATTATTTGCTTTGGATTAGAGCTGGAAGAATTTTAGAAACTGTTGATAAGAGATTCTATTATAAGCTGTTGACTAAGTGACATAGCGTAAGAATTTCGTTTGAGATTTACTTCAGATGTTCTAAATATAGTGTAAGTTTGTCCCCAAATACCTCTAAGCATTCTGAAATAGTTTATCAGATTTTTCTGGAGGATTCTTCCAGTCATTAAAATTTAACTTTTAGTTCAAATATGATTTAAAATTGGCTTTACTTTATAATGTTCAGGAACAAAGCTGTAGGTCTGTGCTTCTAGTTCATTCATGCACTTACTTTTATCCATTGTACCAGAAGCAAGTGTTTCCAAGCTCCTGCAAATTCTATTTGGATTTGCTATGTGCTGCCAACTTTTTATATAAAGTTACATAAAACCATTAAACTAGTTCCATTAATATTTGGTCTAAACATCAGAATTGTGATTCCTTTGATAGTATTCATTTCGCATACCACATATTCACGGGGGTTTTAAATTATGAGTATTTTCATTGGTAAAATGTTAGATTGAGTAGGGGGTTTCAGGGACTTCTGTTATAAACAAGTGATTTCAGTGGGAAAACAAAGAAAGGTGCTGCAGAGTTAAAACATTTGAGCTGGGAAAACATTAGTGGTCATTTTTGATCCAGAGAGGAGAAGAGATTTAACCAAGATAAACTCTTTATTCGCCTTAGGTTAATGTACTGAACAGAACTCTCATTAAAGAAAGGATCAAGGATTCCTGCTCCTTTTTATTATTTTATTTTAAATATTTTTTATGTTTTTATGGATTTTAGGGAGAGGGAGGGAAAGGGAGAAGGAGAAAGAGAAACATTGATTGGCTGCCTCCTGCATGCCCCACACCAGGGATCAAGCCTGAAACCCTGGCATGTACCCTGACCAGGAATCAAACCAATGACCTTTTCGTGCATGGGATGATGCTCAACCAATTGAGCAACTCGGCCGAGGCTCCTGCTCCTTTTTGTTTTTAATTAATTTATTATTATTATTTTTTAATCTTCACCAGAGGATATTTTTTCCCATTGATTTTTTTTTAAATACACTTTATTGATTTTTTTTAAAATATATTTTATTGATTTTTTACAAAGAGGAAGGGAGAGAGATAGAGAGCTAGAAACATCAATGAGAGAGAGACATTGGTCAGCTGCCTCCTGCACACCTCCCACTGGGGATGTGCCCGCAACCCATGTACATGCCCTTGACTGGAATCGAACCTGGGACCCTCTAGTCCGCAGGCCGATGCTCTATCCACTGAGCCAAGCCAGTCACGGCTCCCATTGATTTTTGAAGAGGGTGGAAGGGAGAGAGGAGAGGGGGAGAGAGAGTGAAATATCCACCTGGAAGAGACACATGGATTAGTTGCCTCTGGCACTTGCCCAGAGAGGCCAGGGATCCGAACCTGCAAATGAGGTACATGCCCTTGGCTGGGAGTCAAACCCTTCATTCATCTACACACACACACACACACACACGCACATTTAGAGAGAGATTTTCTTTTTAATCCCAGAAGTTGTTTGCTTTATTTGAGCTCATTTAAGAAAAGGTCGCATGGGAATCAAAAGCAAAGGCTGTTTTCTGATTGACGGTTTAAAGGCCCTTTGCGGTTTGATGTTGTATAAAGCCTTTATGAAAAAAGGATGATAGCTGGCAAAGTAGACTTTTTCATAAGATTCGAATGAGAACAATAAAATATTCAGCAAGGATTTTTTAGGCATGTTATGTGCTAGACCAGCCGTGGGCAAACTACGGCCCGTGGGCCGGATCCGGCCCGTTTGAAATGAATAAAACTAAAAAAAAAAAAGACCGTACCCTTTTATGTAATGATGTTTACTTTGAATTTATATTAGTTCACACAAACACTCCATCCATGCTTTTGTTCCGGTCCTCCAGTCCAGTTTAAGAACCCATTGTGGCCCTCGAGTCAAAAAGTTTGCCCACCCCTGTGCTAGACACTAGATTTTAAAACAACCAAAAATTATTTTTCTTCAAGGTATTATAGAATAAATAAAGTTGTGGAGAGGTTTGTAGGGAATTCTAGAGTTGTTCTAACTGAATCTAGCGTTGTTCTTAATCCTATTTTAACTGTGTGCGTGTGTGTGTGTGTTTCTTTATGACATTTCTTTCTTTGCTTTTCTCAGCTTATTTTTTAATATGCCCATCTAAATGATTCCATCTTGGGGAGTCATGTAATCAGTGATGAGTTTTGAATACTGTTCAGGTTTTCCTATGTAAATTTAAGTTTGGAGTTGAAGATGCTATTTGGGGAGGCAGGGGACCAGGGGGTGGAAAGAAACAATCTGAAAGGGAAGCTCACATACAAGAATTCTAGAACCGTGAGCATTACCCTAAGCAGAATTAAAGAATCAGACATTTTAATTTTTTATGTATTTTTGTACCATTTACTTTATTCCCTTGTGTGTTTTCAGGAGAAAGACCCTTTAAATGTCATTTTGAAGGCTGTGGTCGGTCTTTTACAACATCAAATATCAGAAAAGTGCATATTAGGACACACACAGGAGAAAGACCTTATTACTGCACAGAACCAGGATGTGGAAGGGCATTTGCCAGTGCAACCAATTATAAAAACCATGTGAGGATACACACAGGTAACAGTCTCTGATTTTTTGGTCTTCTAACTTTTTCTTTTAAGAATAAACATCTTTCCCTGGCCGGTGTGGCTCAATTGGTTGGGCACCGTCCCGTGCACCAAAGGTTACCAGTTCGATTCCCAGTCAGGGCACATTGTCTGGGTTTCTGGCTCCATCCGAGGTGAGCGGCAGGCAGGAGGCAGCTGATCCATATTGTGCTCTTACATCATTGATGTTTCTATCTCTCCTTCTCCCTTCCTCTGTCTCTAAAAATCAATTAAAAAAAATAAACACCTTTATTACATGAACTAAGATAGGAGGGAAGAGGATATATTGCCTTTCTAGGCCTTGTCCTCTAGCACATAACCATCTGCTCGGCCACACTGGCCTGTCTGGAGTGAAATGTACAAGAAATTTCCCCTGCTGGTACTGCTCCTCTAGAAGACTGTTGATTGTGGCATTCTTTTTCCTTTCATCATGTTTCTTAATTTTCTCTGATCATTTTTTGTTTAAAGTCTCTTCCTCCTCAGGAGTCAGTTTGGTCCATTTGTAGCACAAAAGTTTGTAATTTTTTTTAAAATATATTTTATTGATTTTCCACAGAGAGGAAGGGAGAGAGACAGAGTCAGAAATATTAATGAGAGAGAAACATCAATCAGCCGCCTCCTGCACATCCCCCACCGGGGATGCGCCCACAACCCAGGCACATGCCCCCGACCGGAATTGAACCTGGGACCCCTCAGCCCGCAGGCCAACGCTCCATCCACTGAGCCAAACCGGTTTCGGCCAAAAGTTTGTAATTTTGATGCTCCACGTTGTGGACATATTTTTTGGTGGGTGGGAATGGAAAGGTGAATGGAATAGAAGAGTAGAGCAGAATGTGCATTAGTTTTACAAGAAATTTAAGATATTTTTATTACTGATATTAAGAGTAAATTGTGATAACTCAAAAGACATGTACACAGACTGAAGCTTCAGTTGCTTAAGTCAGTGTTTCTCAGCTGCACTCAAAAACCCCTGGGTATTTCTGGATATATATTCAGGGATCAACAACAATCCCTTTCTTTTGAACAGTGTCATTAACAAGTTTGAATATTGCTATGGGCAGAGGGGAAGCTTTAAGAGAATATAAAGAAAATTTGCTTTCTTAGAAAAAGAAATCACTCAGTTAATAATATAAAAAGAAATTAAAGGGACATGAGACCATAAGCAAAGAGACTGATCAAGGTCATTTAGAATATTTGAAGTGAGGTAGAGAGAGATACAAATGAAAGACATTTAAGAGGTATCGGCTAAGGACTTAGTAACCGGGATAGTCATGAGGAATAAAGAAGAACCTATCATTCTAGCTTGTGATAAAGTTGAATGATGCTAAGATGGGGAAGAGCAGGTTAGAAAGGGAGTGTAGTGGTGTCGCTTAGGAATATATAGGTCTCTAGGTATCCCTCAACACCTAAACTCTTACCATCTGTATATTTGGTATAATGATTTACAAAATTTTTACTCACAATTGATGATCCAAATTGAAAACCACTATAATAAGTCTACTTGTGGGTGTATTTTTCTGTGAAAGGAAAAAATATTAAGTTGCATGTGAGTCTCGATGAGAGAACAAACAGTATACTGGAGTCATATTTCTGATACAGTTATATCTTACTAGGAGCCCGGTGCACGAAATTCGTGCACTTGGTGTGTGTGGGGGGGCAGTGTCCCTCAGCCCAGCCTGCCCCCTCTCACATACTGGGAGCCCTCAGGCGTTGACCCCCATCCCCCTCCAATCGCAGGATCAGCCCCTTGCCCAGGCCTGACGCCTCCGCCAGAGGTGTCAGGCTTGGACAGGGGACCCCCATCTCCCCCTGATCACTGGCTCTGGTCCCCGCCCAGGTCTGAGGCCTCTGGCCCAGGAATCATGCCTGGGCAGGGGACCCCCATCTCCCTCTGATCGCTTGCTCCACTCCCCGCCCAAGCCTGACGCCTCTGACCCAGGCTTCAGGCCTGGGCAAGGGGACCAACATATCCCCCCAATCCCCGGCTCCGCCCCCCACCCAGGCCTGATGCCTCTGGCCTAGGCGTCCGGCCCGGGCAGCGGGGACCCACAGCTGCAGCGGCCCTGCGATTGTGGGCTTCGCTTTAGGCCCAGGCAAGGGACCCCTAGCTCCTGGGACTGCCAGCTTCGACCGTGCCCAGCTCCCATCACTGGCTCCACCCCTACTTCCTGCTATCACTGGCCAGGGTGTCAAAAACTCCTGATTCTCCAATCATGGCTGGGGGGCAGGCCAAAGGCGGCCCAGGGCCACCTTTGCCCTGCCCCCCAGCTCTTAGCTCCCCCCTGGGTTTCTGATGACTGTCAGTGGCAGGGGGCTTCTTCCTGCTTTCCCTTTTGCCTCCCTGCATTGTGCCTACATATGCAAATTAATCGCCATCTTGTTGGCAGTTAACTGCCAATCTTAGTTGGCAGTTAACTGTCGATCTTAGTTGGCAGTTAACTGCCGATCTTAGTTGGCAGTTAATTTGCATATAGTCCTGTTTAGCCAATGAAAAGGGTATTGGTCGTACGCCAATTGCCATTTTTGTCTTTTATTAGATAGGATGCTTGCATTGTGTGTTATATGTTATTGCTATTATTTTCCCTGCATAATTAAGTTAATGTATTTTCTAAGAAAGTGGAAAATTGCCTATAAAACCCTAAGAGGTCTAAAAAGGTGGCTGTAGGTTGGAAGAAAAATTATATTTTGGTCATATAATTTGCATTCCTTTTATAGCTTTAATATATTTCATTTTTGCCCCCCGATGTGGTTCAGTGGTTGAGCATCAATCTATGAACCAGGAGATCATGGTTTGATTTCCGGTTAGGGCACATGCCTAGGTTTCAGGCTCAATCCCCAGTAGGGGGCGTTCAGGAGACAGTCGGTCTATGATGTTTATAAAATCCTTACAGTAAACTGCATTAGTTATAGTAATAATTATATTTATTGTCATTATTAGTGTGATATCATTAATCATATCTAGATTATCTAGTTATAGGTAGATTACAGTTTTATCAAAAAGGCATAGAGTTGAATGGGGAAACATCTTCATCCTTAATTTTCTCATCCCTTGAAATTAAGGGGAAAGTGGTGTTCAGACACAGGATGACACTCAGGGTGCAGACTACCCTTTAACAAAATCAAAAGCATTGTTAAGGAGTCTTCTTGTGAGCTGCCTCATGACAGGATAGAAAGGGATTTGGAAACTACTTTTTGCCATTATAGCCCCCTTTCCTCCCCCTTCCCCCAAAGTATAGAATGATTATGCTTCATGTGTAAAAGTTTATTTATTTTGTTTTGTTTTTTTTGTCTTTCTTAGGGGAAAAGCCATATGTTTGTACAGTCCCTGGGTGTGATAAAAGGTTTACAGAATATTCTAGTTTGTATAAGCATCATGTTGTTCACACTCATTCCAAACCTTACAACTGTAACCACTGTGGGAAGACATATAAGCAGATCTCCACGCTGGCCATGCACAAACGGACCGCCCACAACGACACAGAGCCAATCGAGGAGGAGCAGGAAGCCTTCTTCGAGCCTCCCCCAGGTGAAGATTTTGTCTAGTGTCTCTGTGTTTGAGAATCAGCAGTAATTTATGATTTATAGTATTTTCTCAACTGATAGAGCTTCATTTAAATAATCACACAACCATATAATTTATAATTGTGGTAAGTGCTATCAAAGAAAGTACTTCAGGATGTATAAGAAGGGAACTTTCGTCTAGTCTGGACATCAGAGAAAACTTCCCTGAGGAAGTGATTTTTGAGATCTAGAGTGTTAACTAGGTGGAGAGGTGGGGGACGGGGGGAGGGGGGTAGAGCAAAGGCCAAAAGAAACATTTCAAATAGAGGGAGTGGCACATGGAAAACCCCTGAGGTTGGAGAGAGCAAAGTAAATCGGAGACTGAGAGGAGCCTGGCCAGTGTGGCACTTCTGCCTGGAAGGTGGCATGAAACGAGGCTGGAGAGCCAGGCAGGGGCAGCTGGGTTAGGGATGTGTTAAGGATGTTGATCTTAAGCATAAGAGCAGTGAAGCACTCCCAAATAACTTAATTCATTCATGTGCTGTTAGGTAGTGTTGTAGGAGACAAAAATATTCATTTCATTAAGAATAAACTATTGAAAAAATACTTTGGAGAACTACATTCTGTGATTTTAGTTAATTAACTCAGCTTAGGTAAATAGGGAGAATGAATAGATTTTTCTAAAACAAAAACAACTTACAGATTATCGTAATGTTTCACTGAATACCTCCTAAATGAGGTAAATTTGAAAATTAAAAAAACACAAAAACCTTTCCCATTCTTAACAACTGATGAAGCATTGAAAACATTTAGGTGGCCCTACAGGGTTTGGCTCAGTGGATAGAACATCAGCCTATAGACTGAAGGGTCCCGGGTTCAATTCCGCCAAGGGCACATGCCCAGGTTGTGTCAGCCAATTCCCACAGGCCAGACCAAGGGACCCCACTGGTGCATGAATGCATGCACCAGGCCTCTGGGATTTGGAAACTACTTTTTGCCATTATAGCCCCCTTTTCCTCCCCCTTCCCCCAAAGTATGGAATGATTATGCTCCCTTCCCACCCCTGCCTCCATTATATATCTAGTGATATATAAATAGCTATGGAATAGGACAACAGAAAAAACAAAGTAATGACTGCCATGGAAATTATGCCAGGATGACTATAGCCATATGAGTGCATGCATCAACCACTAACTTTGAGAACTACTCTTTTATATATATATATATTTATTATTAGTTAAGGTATTACAAATGTGTCCTCATCCCCCCCATGAGAACTACTCTTAAGTTAGCATATTAAGTCCTCCTTTGAAGGAAAAAAATGTACATTTACCCTGTTCCTGCCTTTATTAGCGGTGGATAAAGGTAGAAGAAGAGAGGGTTCAGAAATCTTCCTGGTTGCCAAGTATTGCAATAATGAACTGTTGAAATTTCTGTTTACTTGCTGGTTCTTTTTGAAATAAAGAAGTGGATGGTGGTTCCTATTCTGTCACTTATTAAATGACTAGGGGTGGGCGGGGAGCCCTCAGGCGTTGACTCCCATCACCCTCCAATCGCAGGATCGGCCCCTCCGATTGCTGGCTCTGCCCCTTGCCCAGGTGTCAGGCTTGGACAGGGGACCCCCATCTCCCCCCGATCACTGGCTCTGGCCCCCACCCAGGCCTGAGGCCTCTGGCCCAGGAATCATGCCTGGGCAGGGGACCCCCATCTCCCTCTG